AAGGGCAGCCCCATGTAGAGCGCATTGCAGAAATCCAACTGGGAAGTAACCAATGCATGTGTCACTGTCACTAGGCAATCTTCCTCCAGGTAGGGATGCAGCTGATGGATTAGCCAAAGCTGAAGGAAAGCGCTCTTCGCCACCGCAGTCACTTGAGCTTCCAAGGACAGCTCAGGGTCAAGGAGCACTCCCAAGCAGTGGACCCTGTCCTTTAGAGGGAGTGCAACCCCGTCCAGGGCAAGGTCCAAGTCACCTACCCAGGAGCTTGATCCACCCACCAACAGGACCTCCGTCTTGACTGTTACCATGTCTGCTACTTGATCACAGATTGTGATCGTTTGAGGAAGTCCCAATGAGGAGGGAAAATATCCCAGTGAAGGGAACACCTACATAAGATTTTTTTCCCCAGTGGCTCTTGGCTCCCCTGAACTAAGCTTGCAGCTTTAAGCAGCTGCAGAATGCTTGGTGTGGAACTTCTTCCACTCCCATGGTTTCAACTAAACAAATGACATGGTATGATGGAGAAGGTGACATCCATGCACAGAGCAACACAGAGATAGACAAAGAGAAGCACATACCCAGAGCCTTTGCTGAGCCAAGCTCAAAACATTCGGAAAGCCAGTCTGGTTGCTCAGCAGCAGTTCCACTTAGTGACCAAGTGCTCTTTTGTAAACCTATTCCTTTAAAACTAGAGAAGTATCTCATGTACTTACAAGCACACATTTTTCTTGCAGCTCACTGTTGTAAAACAAGATAAGCTTTTTTGTTTTTATTTCATAAAGAATTCTGTAATGTGTGAGCTAATTTATTCATTTCCTGGCAAATTCTATTTTCAGCCAAGGAATGGAAGAACAGTGGATAAAGCCAGTGAATAAGCCATTCAAAAGGTGACTTTTGCAATTATAATATTTGGTTATATATGCAGCAGTTGAAAGCATGGATGGAAATTCTGCTGTCCATATGGGGAGATGGGAAAAAGTATTTTTTTACAAACCTGCTGCCCTAGCTAGCAATGTGTGATGCTGGGCTGTCAAACATTATCTTGCACCAATGTTCTCCAGTTAGTGTTCTTCTGTGCCATAATATTTAAGAGCACCGAACAGCTATCTGAGGGCAAGGGAAGCTCCCATACTTTCCTCAATCCTATGATAAGCACCATCAAGGCTCACAGTGCTCATTATTTCACTTGGGTTGCACATGGGTTTTACTTGCTGAAATCAGACATTATGCACAGCTTCATGCACATCCTTCTGCATACACAGATGATAATACAGTATCATTTGCACTAGATCCAAGCATTTTTATGTCAAAAGCATTTCCTTGTATCCAAATGGCTGGGAGGGAAGGAACCTTAGTATTCAAAGGAATCATTTTTGCCATAAAACCATTTACATAAATTGCTTTACAAGATTAAAATTGTTTCAAATAAGAACACTCTGAGTTCAAAAAATATAGGGGACTCCTGTATACAAGGAGTTCCATGTGAGTGTGAGAATCTCTGTGGAGCAGGCATTAGAATCATGGACTCATATATACCATATGAGATTAACAAGTTAAAGTATAGTCATTACTAATATCATTGTCTTCTTATGCATGATAAAGAATGGGGGTCAAAAACCACATGTGTTCATTTGTGCTCTCTTTCTCAATGTTCCATGCCTGCTGTCTTTTGTGCTTCTTGTCTTTTTAAAATTTTCGCTCCAGGGTGCAATATATTATATACCCACACACCTAGCTGACCTCAAAAACTTATGCTTCACTGTAATTGCCAACCTTTAAAGCAGAGATAGGGAACCCACATACTGGGGATGGGAGGGACTGAAGCCAAGACATTTTTTCTGCTTCTGCAACCTTCCCCCTCCACCCCTTTCATTCATTGTCTCTCCTAGACAAAAGTCACTCTGTATGATATAGCAGTAAGTTTCAGCAGGGGAAAGCTTATATAATAGCAGTGGAATTTTTTCACCTTAACCCTACTTGCAGCATGTGAAGATACAAATGGGGGAATGCATGGCCCGGGACCTGGTCATTGCCATTTTAATATTCCTTGGGATTGTTTTTAGGCTACAAGCCAAACCAAGTACTTGGATTTATGCCTGCTTGCATATAGATGCTACTGTTTGCAGTACTATTTGGAGAACTTGACACACTCACCCTAAAATCAAGGGCCTTATCCAGTACCCCACTCACATGCCCTCTTTAAGTGCCACTCTCTGCTTTCAGGTAGTCATTGGCATTAGGAGCACCTCTGCTCAGAGTGACATAGCAAAGAAGAAAGGCTTTAGCAGGTGAAAGGGAAATAAATGTTTATATTCTTTCACAGATAAAACATTTCAGAATGTTGTAATTTCTTTCAGACTTGGAAAATGAAACCCATGGGTTGGCCATTGTCCTTGCTCCACCAAGTTGTCCTATGAAAAGAAGTGTTGGACTATGATTAGTCATCTGTCTTAATATTGTTTCTTTACTGTATAAAGTTACATATAATAAACTTGCAGCCAAAAATTTTGCATTTATTTTCCTTTTTTGTGCATGTTCCCCATACTCAGATAAACCCTAACTAAAAATTCTCTTTAGTTTATGTTTGCCACACATACAAGTATGAATGTTGAGCAAGTGATGCACTTAAAGGGGAGCAGAACAGAGAAAGAGATTTTTAAAGCAGCAGTAGGAAAAGAATGATAGAACAGATGCCTAATGTTTCCCAGCAGATGGATAAATGAGGCAGCCATGCTTTGTAATCATCAAGGTAGAAGACATCCTGCTGTGTTTAGTCTACTTGGCTAGCCAAATATGATTTCAGCCTCATCAAGAAGCCACCTGATTAAGAGCACTTGAGTGAAAGTACACTGAAGCCTAGCATGAGGTTTGAACACTCTACTTCACAAAATACCAAGATCTTTGCAAGATGAAACCAGTACGGTTTCAGGTTTGTTGTGCAACACACTCGTAGCTCCATGGTTTTTATATGAATTCACAGCCTCACACATAAGCAATGCATTAATACATTACAGATTTCAAAAAAGGTTATTTCTCATTATACATATTTTACATTAATTGCTTTAGGAAAAAAATCAGGGAATTGAATTTACTAGTAATGATGCTGAAAGCTGTGATAGAGGAGGTATTTCCATCACAACCATCAGAGTTGTTCCATATTTATCAAGCCACAGGTGGGACCAACACCTGCTGGAAATGTTTACCCAGCTACTACTAGAGTTGTGGTGAGGAAAAAGCAATCATGAGGACTCCCTATTAGCTTGTGGTGCTAAGTACCACAAATGCATTCATGAGCACTTGTACATGATGCAGGATGCAATAGCAACCAACCCAAAACCTGCAGCATACATTATACATTTATGCCTAGGTATGCAAGAGTCTACCATATGAACCTGCTTTATTGCCAGGAACCAGGATTGTAGTTCTGTTTATGTATTCAGTGAGCAAGCCAACCCACTCATTATATGAAAAGCTACAAGTACAGCTATTTTCCACAGAAAGAGGAAGATCAGAAGCAAAAGAATTTATTGGCTCTAAGCAGGCACAGTAGCTGTAACTCCATCCACTCAGGAGCATAAAGTTATCAAAGCAAGTAAGTTCATGGTTCATTAATTAAACACTATTTGTAAAGGTAACTGGGAGTACATGAAGAACAGGGTGCAGAAGCTCCAATAGGGAGTTACTACTGAGCCATCTTAGTGATTATGCAGTTGATAGTAGCATAGCTTACTCTACATTTCAGGTTAACAGGATGGCAATTTTTCAAAAGAAATACATTTTACTTTCAAACTGAAGAAAAGGACAGATTTCTTAAAGCCAAGGAGTACTTTTATGCTTTTTCAGTTAAACTGTCATCTATCTTAACCATATTGACTCAGTTTAGTAATCCATAATCTGGGCCTTGAGACAATGTTTTCCTACCAGATATTGTAATCCAGAGATTACTTGCAATGTACAAAATGGACTTAAAGTTCCAGAATATGGGCCACACTTTTGATGTTGTCTGTCTAGATCTTTAGCTTAAAAAAATGTGAACTACGCCGAGTTTTCTAATTGTGGAAGTCTTACCTCACAATGACAGAAAAAAATGTAAGCACACTGAGGGAGGGAAGGGACAGAGCTAACAATTGTGACAATACATACTTAAAACATCTAGACCACTGTTTGGCGAATGTAATATCTAGGTGTCCCACAACAGAAAAAATAAACCCCTAACGGGGTGTGCAATCTATTTTAGCCTGAAAGCCCAATTCCATTCTGGAGAAGCTCTGGGGAACTACATTCCAGTGGTGGTGGCCTGAGGATAAAAGGAGGTGAAGCCAAAAATGCAACAAACATTCCAGTATATCACCATTACTGTACTACATTTATATCCTGCCTTCTTTCCTCTTGCAGTTTCTCTGCCTTTCCATTTTATCTTCACAGCAACCCTATGAGGAAGTTTAGGCAAAGAAACGGTGACTGGCCCTAAGTCAACTGTGAATGCCATATGTCAAGTGGAACTAGAACCCAACTCTCCCAACAAGTCCCAGTGTAACACCCCCTAACCACTGCCCTATGCATGCTGTATGCTTAATAGGTTAGCTAAACACTTTCCCTGCAGTTACTAGGCTTTTGAAAAGTCACCCTAACCTTTTAGAGAGATGAAAAAAAAAATGCAAAGAAAAATGAAAACCACCAAACCAACTGGTTCTTGAAGAAAAGGGATGGGGCCATTTAGGGAAGCCCAGAGGGCTAAACTGGGATCCCAGATTTGGCCTGATTTAGGTTAGCAGAGAGACCTGCTACACTTCCTAACCAATTAAAAAACTTGTTTCTTATTGCATTTTAGAGTTTTCCTTTATTTTAACATTAAGAAAAACAAGTTTTAAAACATTTAAGGCTGTTTGACATTAGATAATATACAAATTATTGGGCTATCCATTACCAAAAATGAAGGTTCTATTACTACTACCAGCTTTTGCAGAGTCCAGTCTTGTAGGAAATAACATGCAGCAACATCAGAATTCTTGTGACCCAGTATCTTCTCCATCTTCCTTACGTTTTACGGTCTTCTTTGGAAGGAGGTGAGCTTGGATCAAAGGCAGAACACCTCCTTCAGCTATTGTTACACCTGCAAACAACTTGTTCAGCTCTTCATCATTCTTCACCGCCAGCAGGATGTGCCTTGGTCCAATTCGCTGTTTCTTGTTTTGATGAGCAGCAGCTCCTGCCAGTTCTAAGATCTCAGCAGTCAAATATTCCAGTACAGCCGCCAAGTAAACAGAGGCCCCAGGGCTTATCCTTTCAGCATAGTGACCGTTCTTCAGGTACCGCCCAACCCGGCTCACTGGGAACTGCAGGCCCGCTTTTGCAGTTTTGCTTTTCTTTGGTTCTGCACGTTTCTTGCCACGCCCAGACATTCTTGTAACTGCAAAGAAAATGCAAAAGTAAATTACAGCACAACTCAAGGGCAGGCTATGGAGACACAGGTAGGCTTTATTTTTTGAACTCATGACCTGCTGCTTCCCTCCCTGTAATCCACTCCAGATAAGTAACAGTTAATTCAATGAATGTTTTTCCATAATGTTTTAAAACTACTTCAGAACATACAGTTTCTGGTCTCCAAAAGTTAAACTGAGAAAAGAGGGACAATTTCCCTATACTACTTCACACAGATGAACAAACTTGGTTATACACTAAAACAAGTTATACAGCTGTACAGCAGAATTCCAAGTCTCCAGTTCCAGTATAAGTACATATACTCAGTGTGTATGTATGAATGTCCACTGAACGCCATGGGATTTATTTCCTGGTAAGCATGAAACTACAGCCTTAAGGTACAATCCTAGGCATACTTAGATAAAGAAGTCTACAATTCCCAACATTCTGCAACCAGCTATATTGAGTTCCTTACAGAAGTTGGGATCAAAATGTCAAAATAAAGTAATAAACCCCTATGGAACTCAGCATCAGGGTTCACAGCCAATAGGGCTAAAAATATTAGTAGTAAATATTTAGTAGCTAATTGAATTAGCTTGAAAAGAAAAATGTGCACTCATATTACATCTGCTCTCTCTTCCTAACAACTGCTTTCCCATGAGAAAGTTCAATGTGCTCAAAATATGTAGAACTGAATAACTTCAGTCAGTCTTTGTAAACCTGCAGAGCTTTGTTGCCATTTAATATTATTCCACTTGCTACACTGACCCCTTACAAAGGGCTTTATGCACATGGCCAGGCCTACAGCCAGTCTAAAATTTCATGGGGTGGGGAAATAGAGGTACATTCATCAGATCTACAGGACTTTTAAAGATAATATTACTCAATTATTTGTGAGAAAGATTTAAGGGAGCAGGCACTCCAGGTATAGGCCTGTATGTTGCATTGATTTAGTTAATATGCACTGCTCATTCTCACACACAAAGTAGAACTGAAGCATGCTTTCAATAAAGTCCTTGTGGAGCAATAGCTGCCCTGCACTTAAATATTTCGCAAGCAGGTGGAGCCATTATTATCATCTTCCTCCTCCTCCTTATATCCCACTTTTTTTTTTTCATTTTGTGAGGAACCCAGGTTACATAGCTCCATTTTCTTCTCTTTAATAACCCTGGGAGCTAGGTTGTGCCAAGAGTGAGTGACTTGCCCAAAATCATCCAGTAAGCTTCATGACCTTGTTAGGACTAGAACCCATATCTCTCAGGTCCCTAGTTCAGCATTCATCACTACTCACCTCTCTAATTTACTCTGGGTTACTACATTACTCTAATTTTTGCCTTCACACAAGCAAGGAACATGAGTGATAGACTAACAATAGAAAAAGATATTTACTGTATTCTTTCATGGCCACAGAGTTTTTAAGAGACATAAGCACCTGTGCTCAAAGCCCTCCATATGAACCTAATTATCAATAGTTTTAATTTCCCCTCTCATAGTGGTGAGCACATAATTCTAACTTAAGTTAAAATAAGCCAATCAGTATTAAATCAATAGCAGTATCAGTAACTTCTTGTAAAAAAGTAAGAAATAGTTACAGCCTTGTAAATATTAAGAGTATTACAAATTGCTATTTGTCAAAACAAGACAAGAGAAACTTACTTTTTATTTAGATAGCCCAAATGCAAGAAAATCTCCTATACCAATCACCCAAAATTTTCTATGTCTCACTTTAGCTTGTTGCAATACAATTCATTCCTCCTTGTCTTAGTGTATTAGTAGTAGAAAATTTCCCTTTTACCAAAAAGCCAAATTATCCAGCTGAATGTTATCAGAATATTTTCATTAATAAGACATAAACAAAATCCTTTCTTTCAGAAATGACAGCCTCTTTCTTCTGCCTGCTTTTTATCTTTTAAATCTTCAACTATAATCAAATTATTATCAGTTCCTTTGCAGCTGAAAACACTTCTATAACTTGAGTCAATCACACTCCTTGTACAGCAGCTGGGGCCACAGATGAGCACATTTTGGAGAGGGGTGGGTCAGGATTCTCAAGTAAACTATATCACCTTGTTATAGGGTTATGGTTCTCTGATGCCATTTTCTAAATATTCCAACCTGATTATTTGATTCACTGTAGTTGCACAGTGGGTATTGCATTCAAGTCAAATATACACAGCTGATGGTACAACTAGGTAAGTTAGTATGGGAAGGAAGAATCTCGTATACCCTGATCTAGAGTATACTTACAGCCCATCCTAAGTGTATTGTTGTGACTATACTGAGATAATATTTTCTTTCGGAGATATTCATATATTATAGAATATATGCACCTTATTAAGAGATAATGGAGTACTCTGCAAAACTTTAAAATGCAAGATTTGAGATCTTTCAGAAAAGGCAAATAGATTTAAAAATATGGTGAACAGAATTTAGGCTTTAGATGGCTGATATCTAAAGATGTTCTTTCTATGAACATTAATGACATTGATATTCTAATTGGAATTTACATATTCCAATAGTTGAAGACTAGTGGATATAAAATGCATCCTGTGTGCTTCAATGGGAACTGCAGATGAAAAATTTAGGAGCTGTAAAGTTGTCAGATGCAGAGACTGAAACGCATATTTTGCAACAGGCTAACAAAAAGGAGCCTTATGAGTCTCCAAGGCCACGTGGTTTGCTTTGGAATTTTGGATTACAGCTCCCAGAATTCCTGACTATTGCCCCTGCTGGCTGGGACTGATGGCCTTGAAGTCCAAAACATCTGATAGGCAGGAAGTTGGGGAAGGCCACTCTGGTTCACATGTCTACTTGGCAAGTTAGATATATGTAATTGTGCTTGCTTTTCAACATGGTAGGATGGTGAGATTTTGGTGGCCACAGAACTTCATCACACACAACATTAGGGATCAGAGCAAATCTGGCTTCTACTCAAGGCTACACCTTCATGTATTTCAGTGGAACCTACTTCCAAATAAGTCTTCCATACTAACTATATTAGGGACTGACTGTTCTCTTGACTAGCATCTTTAACAAGTGCCTTAGAGTGGCTTATGCTGCCACTCATTGCCACACCAAGAAAAGCTTCACTTGCAAATTTCTCTAGTCCGGCTGCTATTAAAGACCAAGTTAGAAAAGAAGGTAATTCTAGCTGTACTTTTAGGGAAGAAAGTATCATTGTTCTCTGGATACATATAAGGACAAGAGGAAAGGAATCTGGAAAATAGGATTTTCTACCAATTTCTACTAGTAAATGTTTTGGCAATTTCTGCCAAGATTTGGTAATTACGATCTCACCTCATCCTAGTAGTAAGGAGTACAAGTGCTCCCCCCATCCCTACTGGAAGAAAAAGTTAAAAGCATCTGCTGGCTCCAATCCTTTCAATGCACCATTTTGTTGCATGCATCCACTTGTTCAAATTATGCAGATTGAACTCTTTCTGTGCTTGTACAAATGTCCCCACATGCAAGTGGAACATATCACTAGGCTCAGAGTAATAGGAGATTTGCAGGAGTGCCAAAAAACAGGAGAAGCAACATAATTCAGTGGCACAGCTGACCACTTAAAACAGAAAACATTCCTAGCAGAGTAGTTACTGTAAATCATCACATTTTCTCTCAATTACTTCCCAGTCATTACATATGTGTAGATTTCTGTGAGATATTTAAATATCAGGATTTCATGAGGATTCAGGATTCCTTTGTTGCACATTCCAAATCCACAGCCCATTTTCCTTGCAAAGTATTCTTTATTGACCAAAGAGCACAAAATACTAAGAATGAATCTCTGAGCTTGCTTGGAGCAGCTTGTTGAACCCAATTTAGCATTCACTGCCAATCTGAAAAGTGAAAGTCAGCATGCCAATCCACAGATTGGGCCACCTTCTCTGTTGGTGATGTGTCATGGGGTCAAGAGCCATACCTGCCACCCCTGAATCTGAAAACTCCCCTGCTCCAAGTCCCTTCCTGTTGACTGTGCATCTCAGTTATTCCCAGGGACTGCCTCTGCCTGGCCTAGAGATAATTGTCTCTGCTTCTCTCAGTGCCTTGGCATGACCCATATTTCCAACCTCCCCCACACATACACCAGTTCTGCCTCACATTCTGATTCCTCTGAAGTCCAGTCCTTGAGAATGAAAGTCCAAAGTAGCCATCTTTCTCATTCCCAACACAGGAGGAGTGAAAATTAATGTCTGCTTGCCAAATTAAGGAAGTGGACTGTTCTAAGAACTGTCAGTTGAACACTTAACATTAAGATGGTTATATTGTGAAGAGAGACATGTTATTTCCTTTACTGTTGCTTTTCAATTGACAGCTAAGCAACTGAACCCTAGCAACTGCAGGCCAATTAACCTATATACAGTCTTTCTTGTCAGTTTCCATGTATGCTACCTATTTCGCCTGCTGCTTCCTTTCATAGCTGAAAGGTATAAGGAAATTGATCAGAAACACTGCATGTTTGACAGCCTTAGGAATATAGTTGCATATTTGCAAAAATTTATTTATTTATTTAAAAATACCAGCTTTAAAGATATAGCTGCAGAATTTTCAGAAACCAAAAGAATATATGACTTCAACTGCACTCTTAAACCTCTAAAATATGTGGGGGTGTGGAGAAGAGAGATGAAAAAGGATATCAAAGCAAGGAGAGGAATACAAGATTGTTTCTACTGCAAAGGGCACTGAAATGCCAGTTGCAACACCAAAAGGGAGAACAAGTGCCTTATTTGCAGGAAGGGTCAGTGTGACTGGGCTTACATGACAATGAGTTGAGGGATAATGGAGTGTTCTGGATGAAACTAAGTGGGAGGTAAATAGAATTGAATGAATATAGAAAGAACATATTGAGGGGTGTTTTTTTAGCAATAGCAAGGAGAATTTTCTCATCTGGATAAATCATTTCCTGGTTCACAGTAGGTATTTTAAGGTGTTCTCAGGGACAGACATCAATGAGAAAGCAGTGTTTTTAACATAGCTGAGAGGGAGTGGGCACAAGTGTGTCTTGTGAAATTAAGAACCCAAAAAAGAAAGGGAAAGATGTAATCCAGGCCAGGAAGGATTGGGCATGCTCAATGGATAGAAAACACTGCCTATTACCCTATTAGACTAAAATACTGTAATTATTTTCTTTCCAAAGCCACCAGTCAAAAGTGACTGACTATAACACCTTTCAACCTGTTTTCCAGATGTTTTACCATCAACCCCAACCAGCATGATCAGTGGTTGGGAATTCTGGCACATATAGTCCAAAACATCTGGAGAACACCAACTCAGGGAACACTTAGCTGTAACCACTGCCCTTTACATATATTCGACTACAAATCCCAATGGCCATGCTGGCTAAGGATAGTGAAAGTCCATATCTTGAGGCCGTCAAGCTGGAGAAAGATGTGACAGGAGATAATGATCAAATATTGGTAGACGCAACTGTGTAGAAGTTTCTTCTCAGCATCTTGTACCCAGGTTGTGGTTTCTAATACTATTATGACAGGCACAGTAATGAAAAAACAAAACAAAAAACACCACATACACACAATATCATTAAAGCTACCATAGTATGAGAATTCCAAAGGACTCAACTTGTACTGCAAGACAATTTGATCTGTTCTTTGTTCATAAAGACACCAAAACCAAGATAGCTATTCTAGAAATTTAATGCTACAAAAACGTTAAAATATTATATCAGGTTTTCAGTACAAAAGACAAAGCACTTTTTAAATCAGTCTGTAAGCTGCAAGTACATCATGTAATCAGAAATCAGGTCTGCTTGGTTATCCTTGGAAAGCATCAGAATCTTTTGTTTTCTTAGGACAAAGCAGAGGATGGATATTAGGAAGAACTCCCCCTTCAGCAATCGTCACACCCATAAACAACTTGTTCAGCTCTTCATCATTCCTCACTGCTAGCTGGATATGTCGCGGCTTAATTCGCTGTTTCTTGTTTTCATGGGCAGCATTGCCTGCGAGTTCCAGGATCTCTGCAGTCAAATATTCCAACACAGCTGCCAAATACACGGCAGCTTCAGAACCAACCCTTTCGGTATAGTTGCCCTGCTTCAGAAGCCGCTTGATACGGCCCACTGGAAACTGCAGGCCAGCTTTTGCAGACTTGGTTTCACGGAAAGCAGTTGCAGGCTTTGCAAACTTCTTGCCACGTCCAGACATGCTGGCCCTATAAAACAGAGAAGGCAGTATCTCCTTTCATTATTACAATTTAAAGGGTTGTTGTGATATGGAGGAACTCTGTCTTTTCAGCTACCATGCTGGAAGAATAGAACTTAGAAAATGCAGAGATGGGAATCATGGTAGGCCTGACTGTTGAGATCGTCAGAGAATTTGAGCCATATTCTTTTCTTCCTTGACTATGTTTCTCTAGTACAACATCTTCTCTCATTTTAGGACCATCCACTACTCCATGACAAGAAGGTAGCCCAGGAAGCCTCAAAAGCTTTGCCATTGATGACATGAGCTTAGTAGGTATTTGGGAATGCTGCCAAATAATCTGTTACTAAATGATAGAATTCTACTACATGAGTTAGTTCTGTCATTCTTTTGCATAGCCATCAACCTATCCATAGTAGCAGCAGTAATGAAATCTAAGGTTGCATTTGCCAGGATTTTACATACATTTTTTAGAACTTATGGTCAGTGCAGAAACCCTACAACATTGTATAGTAGAAATGAAATGTGCAAAGGAGCCCTTTCTTACTTTTCCTGTAATGGCTGTTGAATATCAGTATTTTTGGAGGATCCATAAGTTAAAAAATCAAGGACATTAAGAATTATACCTCATCAGTGGCATTTCTAGAGTAGCCATTGTATCTACTCCAGCATCTTTAGCAGTGTAGTCCATTAGTTGCAGTCTAGTAAGTTAATCATTTAATAGTATGCTGCTTGATGGCACCATAACCATGAAAAGATTAACCTATTGGATTACAAGGTACTGACTAATATACTGTTAAAATTTACTTATTTCTGATCGTCAACAGCTCTCCATATATACATGCAACATACGCTGCTAAAACTCACATACAATTTTATAAAGAGAAATCTAATATCCCTCTTACATACACAACTACCAAAGCATAACATTTATTTTATATTAGATTTATTTATTTAAAACATTTCTATGCTACCCCCATCACAACAAAGCCTCAGGGCGGCTCACAACAGACACCAACCAAACTTCTATTTTCTTTTTTTAAAAAAACACTCACTGTTGTATACTGCAATACTCTTCTCTCAGCACCCAACTATTTTCTGCTTCTTGGAAATGGATGGGGCTGCTTTTTACAAACCCTCTATTTAGAAATAAAGCCAAGGTTGTAACAGCTGCATCCACTTTGCCAGTAGTTTGGCTTTAACTGTACTGGTTTCACATTGACCACTTAGGCTGTAGATCCCAATTTGCTTGCTTTAGAGAAGTCCCTGAAGGCATTTGATAGTTGTGCTTTGCCATTATAATCATATGGTTCAAAATTTTATTTCCATTTTTAGGGAAATGACAGCACACTTAATTTTATATTATATACACAGAGGCTGAGATATATTATGAAAAGTGAGAATGTGTTATGTATTACAATGACTATGCAGTGTATACCACTGAGAATTTTGTTCCTTCTTCCTAATTGATGGGAGGGTAGAGTGAGTTGAGCACAGCTTAGCCAAATGTCATTATTTTAAAGGAGGTACTGAATGTCAGTGCAACTTTAGACATGCCTGCTTAGAAGTCCCACTGTTTTTAGTGTGGCTTATTTCCAATAAGTAGGTATAGAATCCTAGAGCTCTGCAGTTGCAAAGATCATTCATGTTACTGAGTCCATTCCTATCCCTGTGTTCATGCTATTCCCATGCTCACTGCAGGTATTTGGTATAAAGGACCTACAACAGATGGTTGTCTAGTCTTTGCTTGAATGCCTCCGGTGGGAAGGAAAGCCCACCACCTTCTTGGACAGTTAATTTCATTGTCTGCTCTGATGCTTCAGAAGTCTTCCTGATGTTCAGCCAGCATCACTGGCTGAATAGACTTACAGTGCAATTGTGTTGCCTGAGTTCAAAGGGACTGACTCCCATGTAAGTGCATATCAAATTGCAGCCTAAGTCTTCATGAAGGCTATTCTGTAAGTAGATCAGAACCAACCACCGTTTGCATAACGTGCTAAATCCCCAAGGGAGCGGCTTAGCATGTCAGCTAAACCCACTCTGCTTCCCAGGAGGTGTTTACAAGCCACTCTGGGTTGATTTAGAAACCATTCCCAGAAAACATGGCTTGTTGGGTTTAGTGAATAACCCATGGTTTGGGGTGTTGTCCAGACCCAGAAGATTGCTGCAGAGCCTCTTGGCAAGAACAGCAAAAACAGGCTGCCCAGACAGTTGGCTGAATATAATAAACACCAGAAATGTGCCAAATGGCATTTTGTTCAGCTGTTAACTTCCTCTTGACTCCTGCCAGTGCTTGGAAAGCAGGATTGCGCATAACTTTAAACTCAAGGTAGCTACACAGCATACACTCACTGAGGATTGCTATTTGTAGTAGAGGTGATAGTATTCATTTTCATACCTGGTCTGAGAATTCTGTCCTACTGTCTTCTGTGAAATACTGATGAATAAGACGTGGAACTCATTGCAGAATGGAAAGGTAGCTAAGGTTGTATCCCTATGCAGATTTAGCTTGAAAAAAAGGCTTACAACTTCTAGCATCCTGGAGTTGCAGGCTCTTTTTACATCCACCTTCCATAAGATAGTGCTTTAAGGCTGCAGGCCTATACTCATTTCACCTGGGAGTAAGCTCCATTGAACTGAATGGTATTACCTCTAAGCTGAGAAAGGGTTGTGTACATTACAATCCTATGCATATTTCCTCAAAATGAGGTCCCACTGGCTTCAGAGAGGCTTAATCCCTAGCAACTCTGTTCTGAATTGCAGCCTAATTCTTAGCTATATATTAATGTATTATTGTTGTTGTTTAATATACCACTTAATGTAATTGGTGAGTTTCATATAAATATTAAAACACATTTAAATACACTATTAAAAACATTTGCAGTAACAAAGTTAATTATATTTAAAATCCACTATTAGAAGTATAGTTTTTGGGCAAGGTGTTGGAATGGGTGGTGGTGGGACAACTCCAAGCACTCTTGGGTGAAACTGATCATCTCGACCCGGAGCTGTCCTTGGAAGCTCAAGTGACTGCGGTGGCGAGGAGTACTTTCCTTCAGCTTCAGCTAATCCATCAGCTGCTTCCCTACCTGGAGGAAGATTGCCTAGCAACAGTAACACACGCATTGGTTACTTCCCAGCTGGATTTCTGTAACACGCTTTATGTGGGGCTATCCTTGAAGACAGTCCGGATGCTTCAGATGGTACAAAACATAGCTGCCAGGATGCTGTCGGGACTGGTCGTTATTCTCATATAACCCCAGTCCTCTATCAGCTCCATTGGCTTCCCATCGAAGTCCGGGCTCAATTCAAGGTGCTGGTTATTCTTTAGGATACCTAAAGAAACGCCTTCTTCCCTATTTGCCCTCCCACCCCGAGATCGGCAGCAGAAGCCCTCCTCTGGGAACCCTCCGTGAAGGATATTAGGAGGGTGGGTTCCCAGAGGAGGGCCTTCTCTGCAGTGGCGCCCCGTCTATGGAATGTGCTCCCCAGAGAGGTCTGCCTGGCGCCGTCATTATATGTTTTTTGGCGCCAGGTTAAGACCTTTTTATTTCAGCAATATTTTAATAAGTTTTAATATTGAATTTTATCATATTTTAATTGCAGTCAGAATGAGTCATTAATTATGTTATATATTTGTATTTTATTTGTGTAAGCTGTCCTGAGGCTTTTGCAAAGGATGGCATACAAATATCCTAAATAGATAGATAGAAGTAATATATTGCAGAAGGCTTTACAGATCACACACAATTTGTATAACTCAGCATAATACTTCATGCATCTGATGAAGTAGACTCCAGTCCACAGAATCTTACGAGCATAAAATTGTGTTAGTCTTTTTAAGTGCCAGAATATTGTTTTGGCCCTGAAGAATAATAGTATGTATGATTTGCATATCAGCAATTTCCATGTTTTACAAATTATTCTACCTGAATTTGGGGAACTGTAAATATAACCGCAGGAAAGCTGCTTTTGCTGAATTATATCATTTCATGATAACATCAAAGGATTTTGTAGCATCTTAAAGACAGCTTTAGTAAGGCCTCTTTGTTGTCAGAGATTAACAGCAGAATCCTAAACAGGTTTACTGAAAAAATACTTTCACTGAACTCAGTGGTACTTACTACTTTGTAAGTGTGCATAGGATGGCTTAGGAGAAAGTCCATTAAACTTAGAGGCTTGTATAGCATTGAGCTGTGACACAGATACAGCTCCCAAATTTGTAACTGTTAACTTATGTAGGATTTGGAGGAAAAAAGATATCAACAATGACAGATTTCACATAGAGCTGGACCTCAGGACTGAAGTCTAGGGATTTCCTCGCCCCAACGGGCTCCAAAGGATGGGTGGATGGAGCCCAAAACAAATAGAATCAGCACTTTATCCCCTGTGTATATGCCAAGACCTGCAGGGCTCACCGCAGCATTCTTTCTTCTGACTTTTACAAACCATTTTATAATTGTAGCTTAGTGGGTATGTACATGACTGCACTTTTCATTTAAAAATATCTACAACATGGTGCTTATTTCCAAGCATCTATGTTTAGCATATATTTTTTCAGAAGCACCTACTCCAATTCCCCGCAGTCATCACGATAGTGGTATAATTTAAGTGAGTCTGAAGGCACAATCCTAAACCGGTTCATACAGAAAAAAGGCCTACAATTGCCAACCTGCCCCAGCTACAGCAGCATAGCTGGGAGCTGTCTGTTTTTTTCTAGGCTTTGTAGGCCCTTTTCTATTTAAACCTGCGAAGAAGTAGACCTTAAAAAGCAAAACTCCACATGCACAGAGTATTTCTTCTTTAATCAGGTTTGCAGAGTCTTGTGTTGTTGATCCAACAATACAGAGCCGTCATAAAGCATGGCATAGCATGACCGTAGAACGGAGGCGAAAATGAAATGTTAATTGTGAGCCTCCCAACACCACCGGAGAGGGAAGCGTAAGGTCGTTCAGTGCAGTCTGCAATTATGCAATTGACAAATCGATTTGACAATCGACAAATCCTATTAAAGCTTCGACCTCAATTATCTTTTCTCATCTGTGTTTTTGGTTCTTTAAGTATTTGTAAATAATCGTCTCTTGATTGCAGGGTATGAAGGTGTACTGATTCAAGCAGCCGGGGAAATGTAGGCGGTGCTTCGCTGCTGGATTCCTGCCTATCAATCATATTTGCGGCCCTTACGTTGCGGCCCTACTCCCTCTTCCGACCGTACGCGGAAAGTGCCCGGATCAGCCCTAATAAGGACAACTCGGGAAGGAGGCAGCGAGTCCGCGGCGTTTGGCATAACCAGATTTCCTGCGCTCAGAAGCGCGCCCAGCCCAGCGATCCAGGGCACCTGCGCGGTGCGCTCCAGGCTCGTTCGGCTCTCGGTGATCGTCAGTGTTAGCAGCGGCAGAACAATTCCCGCGCGACCATGCAGGTGAGCCATTCCGAGCGGGCTCTTCCGCAGGAGGAGGCGAGGGAACCACGCACTGGGGAGCCCTGCCAGGGCGTTTTTGAGTTCTTTCAGTGGGAATAGGAAAACCCATACGCGGAAATGGGAGGAGGTTTACCGCTACTTCTGCTCGCGGCTCGCTGGCCTCTGAGTGGCTCCGCAAACCCGGAAGACCCTCATGGCTAGCACGTTTGGGGGATTGGGCTGCAAAATTACACGTGATTGTCCCGCTTTCTGTAAAGGAAAGGCCCCAGTCTGAGAGAGTGGTGACGCGTCCTGCGAGCATGCGCCGGAGGATGTACTTCCGTGTAGTGGGGCTTGGTTAGTAGCACAACTTAAGTGGAAACGAAGCTAAGAGGTGCTGTGGGAACAAGTACTTATTTTTATCTGGCCTGAATCTCCCACTAATCAATTTCATGGATGACCCTGGGTGGAGAGAGAGAGAAAGATGTCGCTTGATGAGCTTTATCCATACCATATGCACCTTCATCCTGTCTCACTTTTTCTCTAAGCTGAACAGTCCCAGATGTAACCTTTCCATGTAGGCAAATTGCTCCAACCTCTTTATCATTTTAGTTGTCTTTTTCTACACATTTATACCTTCAAAGTAGCCATTTTTGGTGGAGAAAATACAGTAGTCAAAATGTGCTTGTAGCATAGTTCATATAAAGTTACATACTATAGGCAATTTTATTTTAGATTCTTAATTATGCCAATTTGCCTTTCTTATAGCAGTTGTACACCTGCTTAACACTTTCATCAAGCTTCCCATCAGAATTGTCTCATCTTGGGCAGGCACCGCTAGCTCACATCCCATCTGCTTATATGTGAACTTGGCATTTTTTGCCCCACTTGTGTACAGAGTTACATTTTCCATGTTGATACCTGTTCTCCAAATTTACAAAGGTCCTGTTGGAATGTTTCAGAATTCCTTTTATGGAGACCACCCTAAATTGTTTGTTGCTATCAGTAGACATGGCTGCTTCACTCCTAAGTCCAAACAATTTATGAACAAATTGAAAAGCATTGGACCTGCATTCCCCCATTAGGAGAAATTAACATTTATTCCTAATCTCTGTTTCTTGTTTAATGTCCTTCTGCATTGTTACTAATTCTACTTTAATAATGTTTTCAACCAATTTACTTAAAACATTAAGCTAACTAGCCTGTAAATTTCCAGATCTCCTTAGGAGTGCCTTTCTAAAAATTGGTGTTACATAGTGCATTCTACAGTCTCCCAGTGCAGAAGCTGATCTTAGAGACTCATTACAGAACTGCTGATCTTCTGAATACAATGTATTTAAATTCTTATTTATTTTTAAATTTGTATGCTGCTCACTAATCCAGATGGATTTTTTAGGCAGCTTGAATAACTGTATGGTAAGGTCAATAATTATATTTTACTTATTTTATTTAAAATACTTCCTGGTGACTTGTTAGGGTTTCCAAGCCATTTTATAGTCATAAAGCTCATATAATAAAAACTGATAAAATAATAAAAAGTAAAATAGCTGCAGCATACATTCTGAAAACAACACCAGCATAAAACTAAAATCATTTATCCGCTATTGTCACACCCCAGACCAATAAAAGCAAATCAGGGGAAGGCAAAGGTAAAGCAGTAGGTTTAGCCTGAAAGCCTGCAGTTATGGGGCCTGGTGGACCCACAAAAACAACTTATTCCATATTTATGGACCTGCTGCAGAAAAGATTCTCATGTAGTTGCCCACCTTATTTTATTTATTTAGAAAATTTCTATGCCACCCCATTCGCCGAAGCCTTGGGGCGGCTCACAAAACATTAAAATATAATACATTCAAAATATAAAACGAATTAACAATATAAAATAAGTTGCCCTGGCCAAAGAATAAAATAAGGAAATAATATTAGCAATTAAAATGACGTTTGAATACAAAAGGTCTTCACCTGGCGCCAAAAAACAAATAACGACTGCGCCAGGCGGACCTCTCTGGGGAGTGCATTCCATAGATTGGGCGCCACCGCAGAGAAAGCCTTCACGGAGGGTTCCCAGAGAAGGGCCTCCCCGCAGATCTCAGGGGGTGGGCAGGCGTATATGGATGTAAGCGCTCCTTCAGGTAGCCAGGACCCAAGCCGTTTAGGGCTTTATAGGTCATCACCAACACCTTGAATTGGGCCCGGACTTCAATGGGAAGCCAGTGAAGCTGACGGAGGACTGGAGTCATGTGAACTTAACGCCCCGTCAGCAGCCTGGCAGCTCTATTTTGAACCAATTGAAGTGTCCGGACCCGTCTTCAAGGGTAGTCCCATGTAGAGTACGTTACAGAAGTCAAGATGGGAAGTCACCAACGCGTGTGTCACTGTCGCCAGGCAGTCGTACTCCAGGTAGGGGCGCAGCTGATGGATCAGCCGAAGCTGAAGGAAAGAGCTCCTCGCCACTGCTGTCACCTGAGCTTCCAATGAAAGCTCTGGGTCGAGGAGCACTCCCAAGCTGCGGACCTTGTCCCTAAGAGGGAGTGCAACCCCACTCAGGACTAGGTTCAATTCACCCTCTCCGAAGCCCGATCCGCCAACCAACAGGACCTCCGTCTTGTCTGGATTGAGCTTCAGTTTATTGGCCCTCATCCAGCCCATTACCTCGGCCAGGCACCGGTTCAGCACAGCCACTGCCTCACCTGGATTGGTGGAAACGAGAGGTAGAGCTGGGTATCATCAGCGTACAGATGATTCCGCAGCCCACACCTCCTGATGACCTCTCCCAGCGGTTTCATGTAGACATTAAACAGCAAAGGGGACAAAATGGACCCCTGCGGTACTGCCATGGTGCAGAGCCGTAGTCCCCCAGCACCACCTTCTGGAATCGGTCATTGAGATAGGAGCGGAACCACTGCAAAGCAGTGCCTCCGACCCCCAATCCCACTAACCTATCCAGAAGGATACCATGGTCGATGGTATCGAAAGCTGCTGAGAGGTCCAGAAGAACCAACAGGGACTCACTCCCCCTGTCCTTCTCTCTGCACAGGTCATCGTACAGGGCGACCAAGGCAGATTCAGTACCATACCTGGGTCTGAAGCCGGACTGAAATGGGTCCAGATAATCAGTTGCATCCAAGAGAGCTTGGAGTTGTCCTGCCACCACCCATTCCAACACCTTGCCCAGAAACGGGATGTTGGCCACTGGTCTATAATTAGTGGCCATCTCTGGATCCAGTGACGCTTTCTTCAGGACCGGTCGGACTACCGCCTCCTTTAAAGGGGCAGGTACCCGACCCTCCCTCAGAGAGGCATTAACCACTTCCAAGATCCAGATCCCAATCCCGTGCTTGGAATTATTTATTAACCAAGATGAGCAAGGGTCCAATAGGCAATTGGTGGGACGTACTCTTCCAAGCACCTTGTCCACATCATCAGGCCGCAATAACTGAAATTCATCCATTAATTTTGGACCAGACGGCAGCATTGGTATCTCCCCAGAAACTTCTGAGTCACTAGTAGAGTCTAGCTTGTGACGGATCTGAGCGATTTTCTCCCTGAAATGATTGGCAAAGTTGTCACAGCGGGCCTTCGAGGGTGGAACCAGATCTTTCTTAGGACCTGGACGAACCAGGCCTTGTACCACTCGAAAAAGCTCCGCCGGACGGCATTTTGAGGAGGCAGTGGAAACGGAAAAGAAATTCTTTTTCACCGCCCTCACCACCACAGCATAGGCCCGATAATGGGCTCTCAAGTGTGTTCGGTCAGATTCATCCTGTGATCTCCTCCACCTACGCTCTAGCTGTCTCCCAGCCTGCTTCATTGCCCACAATTCAGGTGTATACCAGGGGGAAGAGTGGGCTCTGCCTGGTGGGAGAGGACGCTTAGGAGCGATCGTGTCAACAGCCCTGGTCATCTCCCCGTTCCACAGTTCGACCAGAGCCTCGACAGGAGCACCAGTCTTGTCAGCCGGAGACTCCCCCAGGGCCTTCAGAAATCCATCCGGCTCCGGGGACAGACCCACACAATCGGGTCCACACCCTTACAGAGGGAGAGGCCGCTCTCGAGCACAAACCTCACCAGGAAGTGATCTGACCATGACAGGGATGTCAAACATAAATTCCTCACCCTCAGACCACCCTCTTCCTGCCCCATCAAGAAAACCAGGTCCAGAGTGTATCCACGTTCATGGGTCGGGCCAATGACATGTTGAGACAGCCCCATAGTCGTCATGGAGGACATGAAGTCCTGAGCCGCCCAGGACAGACCAGTCTTGGCATGGAGATTGAAGTCCCCCAGGACCAACATCCTGGGGGTCCTCAACACCAGGTCCGAGACGATCTCTGTCAGCTCAGGCAGGGAGACTGTTGGGCAGAAGGGTGCACGGTACACCAACAGAATCCCCAATCTGTCTCGGTCGCCCAACACCAAGTAGAGGCACTCCAGCCCTGGCCTCGAAGGGACCAAAGTCCCGTGAGGGAGATGGAGGCTCGGTAAACCAAAGCGACCCCCCTCCCCTCCCTTCTGGGCGTGAACGGTGCTGAACCAGATACCCGGGCGGGCACAGTTGAGAAAGGGTGACATCGCCCCCCCTCTCCTGCCCAGGTCTCCGTTATGCAAGCCAGGTTGGCCCCCTCATCCACAATCAAGTCATGGATGAGGGAAGATTTATTGTTGACCAACCTGGCATTGAGCAGCAGCACCGTCAGGCCTGAGGGGCGGTTGACAAGACTACCTGCTGGGGGCAAAACCAGAAGGAGGGACAGGTGTCAACCATCTGTCCCTCCTTCTTCTATGTGGACACATTAAGCCCCCACTGCTGTTACATCCATTACCCATGACCACCCCAATGGCGGCGCCCCCACGGTCCCCAGGAAACACAAACGTCGACATGGCCAGGGACGACTCCATAAAAACAAATTAGAACAGATTAAAATACAATAAAATTATAAAAACAATCAAAAACTCCCCATTCCCTTGGTGGTGCGCCCTAGTCTGGCGGCAGCGGCAGCAACTGCACAGCGCAGCGCGGCAGGTAGACCGAGCCGTGGAATGCAGCCGATGTCCGGGGGGTGGGAGGGAGCTCCAAGCCCGTCCTGCCCCAGGCTGGGTCCGGCGGGTTAAACTGGTGCCCGCCCACGTGCCCCGCCCCAAACTGGCGTCGCTCTCACCGGCACCAGCGGGGGGGAGCAGGGAGGGGCGCGGAAACCCGTCCGGCGGCAAGATGGCGGCACCCTCCTCTGCGCCATCAGCAGCAGGCCTGGCGTGGCCCTGGCATCCTCCATGGCCGGGGTGGTCCAGCGATGGCTGCAGGAGCGGCGTCAGCTGGCCCCCGGCTCGGTGGCAAGCGCCCGTCCGGCGGCAGCAGCAGCGACAGCGACAGCGCAGCATGGCGCAGCAGGTGGACCAATTAAAACATGGCCCCTGGCCAGCCCAGCCCCCCACTCGGCCCCCAAACGGCTCCCAAACGGCGGCGACTGCCCTTTGGCCGCCGGCCGCCGCTGGCACTTTATGGGCCACAGGGCCCTCCCCGAGCTCCGTCCCTTCCCAGCGCGTCTCTCACCCGTGTGGGGGAAGCAGGCTGGAGCCAGGTCCTGGGCCGGTGGTCCTGGCCTCTGGAGGGCGGCGCCGGAGGAGGTGGGCCCCGTCCGGCGCGCTTTATTTCCTGCTGTTGAGCAGTTGATATGGTGAAGGTTAGGGTTAGGTCCCAAAACCTTTAAGCCTTTAAAAATAAAAACAGGGTCTTTAAATTGGGCTTGGAAACATACCAGTAAGCAATGTAGCTGGTGCAATATGGGCATTACATAACTGAAGCACATCACCCCCACCAAGCTGAAATTTCTGGATCATCCTCAAAACCAGCCCCATCTACTACATATTACTGTATCCCAGTCTGGACATCACTTTGTTTAAAACTTTTGCATGCTGTCCCTTACGATCATTAAAACAACCACAATAAAGCAGCAATCTTAACATAATAAATAACAATTAACCAAAAAATACAAATTAAATAAGTTAAATAAAAGTGATTGTTAGAGTTGTCCCCAATTAAATTAAATTAGTTTTTAAAATAACAGTTAAATAAAAAGTTTTAACCTGGTGCTGAAAAGAATATAAACTCAGCACCAGGCAAACCACTCCGGGAAGCACATTCCAAAATCACTAGTTCATAATTCACATATTCACTATTCTGTGAATAATGGAGGTCTCCTTTCCAGATAGGGCAGCAGTTGCTTTCTGTTAATTTATCTGTCTCTTCCAAAGAATTGTAGCTCAATGGTGGCACATCGTGATATAGCATTCTTTGCTAAATACCGCCGTATCTTTCTGTTCTGCCAGTATAAGTGAACAACAGTACTTCTCCAGGGTGTGTAAATTGACACTGGGATTGAACTGCAAATTACTGCAGATCGGAGATAACAGTGGAGGTATCCAAGGGGGATTCCATGGGCTGGTTGGGAACCTGCATGGCTGGATTTGGCCTGTGCAGCAGAGGTTCCCCATCCCTGTTCCAGAGACTAAGCTTGTGGCATCTTTAAAGTAACGGCTGCTTTGGGTCTCTACTGCATCGTCTTTTGAGATCAAGCAATATGTAGGCTGCTTGATGCTTTTCAGACAGCAACAAGTTTGAAAGTTCATTCCTCAGTTTAGCATTTGCTAGTTGAATCTGTATGTGGTGGAGGCATGATGGCTGGAAGTTTGGAATTTGGTAGTGTTTCTCTCAGTCTCTCTCTGTCTCTCATTTTGTGCATACTAGGATCCTAATGCAGACACAGAGTGGAATGACATCTTACGTAAAAAGGGCATCCTTCCTCCAAAGGAAAAGTTGAAAGAGCAAGAACAGGCAGAAGAGGAGAGGGAGCTGCAGATCCTTCAGCAAAAATCAGTTGGTAAGCTTTCTAGTTCGAATGAGTCCAATACTTCCATAATCCATCTTGCTTGACTGTTTGCCACGTCAGAATGTATGAGCCTTCATAATGAAGACAAAGGCCTTGTTAACTGCAAAAAGTCATTTACTTTTTGAGGCTTGGATTGCCTGTGAGAAGGGCTTTGGGTTGTTGTTGTTTAAGATTGTTTTGTTCCTTTATGGAGACTATAAATCACATGGGGCCCTAAGAGAAGTATATACAAGACTTGTAGTCTTTCTGGGAAGTAGGTAGGTTTTGATGAACTTCCAAGGGATGTCCGTACCATATGGGTTGACACTTGACAACAGAAAGCCACATGAATATACAATTGCTGGAGCTAGGCTTGGGTCCAGAATTGTAGTTCATTTTTAATGAAACTCTGAATGCAGCATAGGTAGGCAGAAGGTTGATCAGAATCTGAGAGTAGGCCTCTGCTTGATTTGCATGAGTTTTTTCAGTTAACAATAACAACAGCTGAAAAATCTCTCTCACAAATGCACATACCAGTTAAGTTGCTGAAAAAGACTACTTGGGCAGAAAACTGGAAGTCCATTTCTGTGTGACAGGACATGTGAGCTTGGGCCTGGCACTGATCATGAATTCCTGAGCCGAGTATTTGCTCAGAAGCATTCTTGTTCATTAATTCTTAGAGTACGTCCATCTGGTTGAGCCAACTTTTACCAAGTTCTGGTGGGTGAACCTTATGATTCTAATGAAACCCAAACAGATCCCACAAGCCTGAACTCTCCCCAGCCTCAGTGTAAAGGGAGGTATATTCCTCATTGTAGAGAAATTGCTAGGACCTTTTAATCTCTTTTTGGCCACAATAGTATTTGGGCATTATTTATCATTTTCTTATATGCCCAGTGCAGGAATGAGCAACTTGTATCATTCTGGATGGTGTTGGACTGCAGCTTCTCTCATAGGAGAAGAATCATAGCCCTGCAGTCCAACATCTGGAGGGACACAAGCTGTCTACCCCTGCTCTAGTGGAAGGGCACAAAATAACCAAATATAGGACAAGTGCATTTTAATATTTTTACAGGATACGTCTTGTGATCACTGTAGAAAGTAGAATCTTCAAAATGCACACTTCCACTATGTCTATGCTAATTCCTGGCAGAAAAAGATCATGAACGTATTTATGAACACACAGGATACATGTGCACATTTGTCTTTGTGCACACCGTACCACCTTTATTACAACAGGCATGGACTAGTATCTTCTCTTTAGATCCTTTGATGCACCTTGTAGGTTTGTTCGCTGGGATTGGAATGATGGCTTTGAAATGTCACCAGCAAAGGAAATACTATTTTTGGACAGATTTCTCTGACCCACTGGGTGCTCTTTTAGCTGTGAAAAATCCTTTATTGAACAAGAGCATATCCCTTTGTGTGCACTCTAATTGCATTCTATATTTTACATCATTTAGAAAAGAAACTGATGATTGCTGTCTAAAATAAGAAAAGGCACAGTGGGCGCTGTAGCTTTATTACAAATGAGCTCTCTTGGGATGTAAGATGTAGGAACAGCATTAATGAGATGCTCTGATGTGCAATTCTGAATCTTGTGAGGGATGGGCTCCAGCCTGTGATTTAAAAAGTAGTCACTCTTTTTTTCAATAAATTTGGCCGTGTGCGTGCACTTGTGTGCACACACACAAGCTTGTGTACATACAAAATGCTCTTGCTTAGGAGAGTTGGAACCTCGTTTTTGACAAGCATACATGTATGTTTTGTAGTCTTTACCTCTGCAAATGTATATGAGGCAGGTATGCTGTATAAAATGTGAAATGCCTCAAAATGACTCTTACTTTGAAATTAAATTATTCACACAAGGGAACTTTTGATGAGTAATTCTCCTTTGCCAGTCTCATCAGAATTCGAACAGGTTAAAAGTTCAAAAATTGGTTGTTTTTTGTCCATATTGTACTGATGACCTATTTCTCACATATCAGTGAAAACCTATGAAGACATGACTCTGGAAGAACTTGAAGAAAATGAAGATGAATTCAATGAGGAAGATGAACGTGCTATAGAAATGTACAGGTTAGAGAACTCCCACAGGCAATCGTATTTGTTGTTATTGGGACAAATGGGTGCTTGAATTATGGGGTGGAGTGGGGGGAGCTAGGGACATCTTAAGTGCATCAGAATGATCTCTGGGCTTCACCCAGTTTTAGCTGACTCATGCCCCCTTCCCACTCACACATAGCTAAGGGGACCATCATAAAATTAAGGCAGAGCCTTGTAAAAGACAACAACTGGGTGCAATTTGTGTGAGCTCAGTGGTACATGATAGAATTTCTGCTTAGACTGAGCCTAGTCATGAGTTCTAGTTTCTCAGGAACCTATGCACAAGCATGTGTGAACAAGTTCTAAATAATTGGAACTAGAATTCTAGTATTCTGGATTACAGAAGGCATGCATCATTCCTAGCATACTCATTGCAAGTTTAGGACTCTGTGGCTTTCCTAGAAAATTAGAGAAAAGTGGGTTTTGATGAAACCAGTCCAACTGGAGCACTGTGCAGCCTGATTTAATCTGATAAAGACAAACCAGCCTGATGTGTTCCCGGATCACTGCTACTTCTACAAACACACAGGCACCAAGACTCTTTATATGCAGCAGGTGTGCTGCACGAGAATTAAGCTTCCAGCCAAATTCAGCAATACCTCATGCAATTGTAAATGACACTGTAAAGGAGCTGATGAATTTTACTAAAGCAGTTTAAATAACACTTGCTTTCACTCAGTTTGCTGAGAGCACGTTTAAGCAGCATCTACTGCATTGAAGCAGTGGTTCTTGAAAAATTAATGGCTGTAGGTAGCACCATCTCAGTAGAGAATTCTGATATAAATCTTTACCATGATGCATGTAGCATTTAAAATGAATTCTTTAAAATATCTGACCTTGGCAGTTACTTCTAATTTGGTTTATTATCTACATTTCCAGTTTTCAACATACACAAATTGAATATTGCTGTTAGAAATAAAAGTGCCTAGTCTTAGCAACTGCTCGATATTGCAGACTTGTCAATAGCTATTTCTGCACTATCTCCTGCTTCTCCTGCCTGTAAATCAATAGAACACAGTGATATTGACATTCTCTGATGAATAAAATTAATCCCACTAAGCCAGCCTGTATCAAACCTGGTCTGTGAAATCAAATCTCCATTTGTAATTGAGATGTGACACTTAACCTAGAAGGGGGTTGCAGTTTCCTACTTTTCCTTGGGTGTAAGCCCATTCTTTGGAATTAACTTATGAGTTATACTCTCCCTGAAGACCCAGTCTCACAGATGGGTATACTGCTGGACTCAGCCCTGGATGAGGATGCCCAGGTCTCAGCACTGGTCAGGAGCAGGTTTGCATACCTGAGGCTGGCGTGCCAACTACACCTGTTTATAGAGGTATCTGATCTGGCCACTTTTTAACATCCCATTTGCACGATTGTAACACAGAGATGACTTTGAAATCTGTTGAGAAGCTGATCCAGAATGAATGCAAAGGATTGATTATAGGGAGCTCTTGGTCTGTTTCTGGGCACTGGGCAAAGGGGCTGGCAATAACCTATAAGCCATGTATGACTTGAGGCCAGGCTACCTGAAAGTCTGCCCTCTCCCATTCCGGTCGCCCAGTCTTTAAGGTCTGCAGAGGCCTTTCTTTCAAGACCACTGCGATCAAAGGCACATTTGGCAATGACACATGCCACTTTTGGCTGGCTGCTCTCGGGCTGTGGAGCTCCCCTGCCCATGTGCACAAGGAAAGCTAGCTTTGTTCTGTCTCTGTTGTCCTTCTGTCAGCGCAACAGGACTCTATTATTGAAGAAGTGCTTGGCTTAAGAAGGTGCTACTGGGTTGGGTGCTTTTTAAATTCTGCAGTGGCTATGTTTTACTTATATTTTAATAATGCGCTTTTCCAAATCTTTTAAAATTGCTTTTGTAAGCCACCTTGAGTGCCCCTTTTTGGTAGAAAGGCAGGATATAAATCAAAACAGGTAGTAAAATGTTAAACTAATTTAAGATTGTAGGCAAGCAGCCCAGTTCTGAAATCATCTGATGGTGCCAGCAATGACCACTAGCATGAGTTCCACCACTTTAAAACACTGGTCCAGCTCTTCCACTTCTTGTGCCCACCACTGAAATTCTCAATCCAGAACTTGTAGGAGCTAATGCTTACTCAGGAAAGATTTATTATGTATTGTGTGTGCAAATTCTCAAATGCAATCTCTCCTCAGCTAGAAGGTTCAGGCAGCAGGTACTGGGGAAAATCCCTGCCTGAGTCATCCATCAATCTGACTTCATATGTGGCAGCATCCTATGTTTCCTTTAAGGAAATCTCTTGTATCAGCTGTCCCATCACTAGTGGCCTTTGGGATGCTCTCAGATCTGATAATTGGACCGTGGTTCTTCTCTAGCACCAAGGTACAAGATGCACATTAGCTGGCGGGGAGTTAAGGACAGGCTACATCTCCAGCATTGGGTTCCAGCTGTGCCTTTCATCTTCCAGGAGACTCTTGGGTGAAGAACATCCCACTGTGCCACTGTTACATTTTAACTCATCTTGACCAAATAGCAACTTTCTTCTTCTGTCCTTCCATTTTGGTGTAGCAAAAGAAAGGAGCTTTGAGTATAAGTAATTATGGAACTGTGAGGTTCCTGGCTCAAATCATGTCTGTACTGTATCATAAACCAGGGATGGACAACTTTTTAAAGCTGCCTAGGGGCTTTTAAATATTTGGCAGCATATAAATGGAAATATAAGTAAACCTGTAACCCTCCAGAAGTTTGGGCTACCTCACTAAAGACTCAGTTGCAGCCTTAGGCAACTTGTTATTTTGTTATCTTGTCTCCCGTTTCTTATAAAAATACTGTCTGTTTTAGAGGGCATTGTGAAGATTGCCAAGATTGTGAACATGAAGGGTTTTGAACACTTAAGCCCTGTCCTAAATCTATTTCTATATGTTCCTTTCTCCTCCAACACTGCATGTTGCAGACAGCAAAGGATAGCTGAATGGAAAGCATCTCAAGCAAAGAATAAATTTGGACAAGTATTAGAGATTTCGGGACAGGATTATGTCCAAGAAATTACCAAAGCTGGCAAGGATATATGGGTGATATTGCACCTTTACAAGCAAGGGTAAGCAAACATTTCAAAGCTTTTGCTGTTAACATGCAGCTTTTCTATAGCAAATTTGGGCTGGGTAAAATTGCCCCAGCATCATATGGTTGCATTTTTCTTGAATTTGTCTTTTTTGTTTAAATACAGCATTCCCCTCTGTGCCTTGATAAACCAACATTTAAATGCACTTTCCAAGAAATTTCCAGATGTCAAGTTTGTCAAAGCTATTTCTACAACCTGCATACCCAACTACCCTGATAGAAACCTTCCCACCATCTTCATCTACCTTGAAGGAGACATCAGGGCCCAGTTTATTGGACCACTGGTGTTCGGAGGCATGAACCTTACAAAAGATGGTAAGTAGCTGGAGGTGCGAAGGGTCAAAACCTGGGAAAATTATGCGTGCAGTGCAGCACATGTGTTCTGCCCCTCCCCATTTCAGCACTTCTGCTGCCATTACCTTTTCTGTCATAGAGATAATTTCCACAGAGGAAAAAAAAAGTGTACATGAAGTGGCTCTGTGGGCAACATGAGACCCACAGGCTGCATATGGCTCTTGCCGCTACCTCCTCACTTGCCTAGCTTACCCCAAAACCAATTTTTAAAACAAACAAAATGACACACTGTAGCAGCTATCAAATGATAAAGGAACAAATTTAGTTTGCTTGCAAACAGGCTAAAATTCTTCCCTTTTAAACCAACTGCATGCTATGGATTTGGAAAAAAAATGGGTTTAAAAATATTTCTCCTCCCAGAGTGGTCTACAGGAAAAGGGTTAGGGGGCAAAAATGTCTCCTAGATCTCTTGCAGTTATCAATCTCTGCTCTAAGAGGAAAAACCTGAGGTCTTCTGCAATAGCTAGTACTCCAAAACTTTCCTTTTTGTACTTCCATTCCTTCAGTGTCTGCCTAAACATTACCTATTGGTTGGAGCTATGCTGAACTGATGTTCATTTATGAGATGTGACCCCTTTTAATATGTTTGTTTAAATCTTAGGTCTTGGAAAGTTCAGTCTTTCATATCATACAACCTGAGATTATGTCTATATTGCAGGGGAGTTTAGTTATGTTCTGCATGGCTTGAGTTTGCATTGTGCTCGGTGTATTCACATAAACCAACCCTCTATATTTAAGAGGCATTTTCTCTTTATTATTGGTGGATTTCAACAAATGAGGAGGAGCTGTGGTGGAAGTTGAAAGTGGATCAAGTCTTCAGTAACAGAGTGATATCAGAGGACACCATTTCAGGGAGAAACTTGCAGTCACAGTGTAAATTCTCAAAGTTAGGAAAGGTGCTGTCCATCCTGCAAAACTACCAGTGTGATCCTATGCATGTGTACTGAATTCAGTGCAGTGTATGCTGAGGTGCATCTATCTAGAGTATCTGTATAAGGGATTGGCAAAAGGTTGGTTTCCAGATATTTGGACCTCAGCTTCCAGCCAGTAGTCAGGACTGCTGGCAGTGCAAGTTCAAAATATCTAGTGATCTACTTTCTGCCACCTTAAACGTTGTGTCATAAGGCTTTTTTTCCAATACTGGGATTCATCTGCACATCCATTCACAGACACACTTAACGTCTTTACCAGCAGAGAGATATAAATGGAATACCACCTAATGTGGGCCACTTAATTTGGTTCTGTCATCTTGCTGCACCTCAGCCAGCCGTACTCTCTGGATTTTATAACTAGATCGTTAGTATAACTTAACCAGCTTGAATAGAAAGTCAGGATCACGTTAATTCCACCTGCTTCTTTTGTCAGCTTAAATGAGGTTGGCTGATGAGATTGCCAGCAGAGCTAACAGTGAGACATCTGATTAACTTGCTGTATTGACTGTCTTCCAGTTCTGGGGTGTAAGCCAATTTGAGCCCATGTAATCAAGGCCTGCTGCTAAGTGGGAAGTGTTTCACAGCAAAAGAATAAGCAAGGAATAAGCAAGAGAGTAGGATGTATGTGTTATTTTGATTGTTTAGAATCTCTATGAAAGATAGAGCAAATTAATAATGGTTAACTCTGGAAAAATATGCAGACTTCCACTTCCCCTAGCAACAATTATCAGTACGAATAAGCTTCTTTCCATTGCCAAATAGCCAGTATGTGCCATCAGTGGGTACAAACATGTTTTTGAGATTGCTTCAAAAAGCTGTGTGGAATACAAAAGAGGAGATGGAAGTCTGAGCTCCCTTCCTTCCAACTTTGTAAGTCATCACAATGTATCATTTTTCCTTCTATATAGAATTGGAGTGGAAGATTTCTGAGTCTGGTGCCATCAAGACAGACTTGGAGGAGAACCCTAAGAAGCAGATACAGGACCACCTGATGACTTCAATCAAGTGCTCTGTTCCAACAAGGAGAGAAGAAAGTGACTCAGATGATGATTAAGGCATCCTGTACGCTCCACCTTTATGTCCAATTATACAGAAGTTGGTGCTGACTAAATTCAGTCGGACTTGATGAATTCACTGGAACTTTCGTCCATTTAAGAGTGTATAAGACTGGAGTCTAGTAACTACCACTGGTACGTATCCCTTCTGGTGGATTTTTCTTCCTAAAGGAAATTATGGCTGTAAATAAGCTTGCAGAGGGCTATACTGGAGAGAATTTAAACTGCTTCCAGACAAATCCCAGTTCAATTACCACTGTGGTGAATTAAAACCAACACTACTTTGACTCTCATGGAATTCACATGCCTCCTAATCAGAGATCCTCTCTCTTCTGCACCACAGTCATTTGAACCACTATAGTGCACAGCCATTAAGCCTCTACCAATGGTTAAGAACTGCTGCCAAAAAGATGGTGATGCAAGACTTGATTCTTAAATAAACACATGATGAACTTTTAAAGAATTACATTGTGCTGAATACTCTGATTACTTTATTTGGCAACATCCAGAAGCAGTAGCTTAATACTGCTGTCAAGGCCTCGAATTATAGTGGTGGTACTTCTAAAATGTATTTTGAAATCTGCAAGGCATACAGAGTTATTGAATGTCTAAAGGAGATGCAGCATGCTTTAATGTTGACATTGTTACCTGACAATGTTTTTAAATAGTTTCCCCCTTTATATTTTTGCTTTTGCATTGCTTTATGGCTTTGCTTTTCTCTTTCCCTTACTCTGCATGAAACAATGCAATTCAGTCTTGAATTGTGAGTAGCTAACCTAATGACAACCATGATAATGTTTCAAGTTGTTCATAAAAGTAATAAAAATCATGGAACACAAAGCAATGATTTTTCAACTTTATGGACTTTTTACTGAGTAATAGTTTTTTTATTACAATATTGCCTGTTACGATTTTGCTGTTTCAAATAGGAAAAGAGAGATGTTGCAATATTGCTCCAGATGTAAAACAAAGTGCACCTGGAAAGGTAGCACCTAAGGAAGAAGTCTGAGCTCCTTCATCTTAATAAGCTAGTCTTTCATGTGCAGGAAGTGGTGTTTGTATGTATGTGTTTTGTAAATACATCAAGATGCATTCAAACGCCTGAACCACCTGAAGTCTGAAGTGGTATAGTTCAAAATGGACTCTAAAGTTTTCTACAGTTTTGCACTTACCTGAACTCCAAAGGTGAACTTGTTCTTTTCATGCCAAATTTCAAAAAGTGTTCAGTTTAGACTGTACAATATATTGATGCATGTTGAAATAACTCTATTCATCTGAAATATAAATGGAAACAGATTGGGAAAGGACCGAACCAGCACTTCCATATTTATTGCCCTGGAACTTGTGTACTATTCAGAAATTTGTGACATCTTTTTGTAACTTAAACTTGGGTACTTTTTGTATGCCATCAGATTTCAAAATGCTTTAGGGAAACTTATTTTTAATTTGTTGGGAAAGGGTTTGGTATGCAAATATCTGATAATATACATTTGAAGGCAGTCTAACCCTTTTCATATTCACAAGAATAAAGGGTTTTTAACATCAAAAGGCAGATTTTACTTAATTTCCATTATTACATTTACAACTTCCTCACATCCTTTCTTGTTCCTTATACACATCTGTGCGAGAACAATGTCATACGATCGTATCCACACTTCCTCATATTGACAAATTCCAAGGGTTTTAGCCAAAAATGATCTCTAGGTAGGTCCTGAGCAGCACCTCGTGGCGGAGAGAAAACTGCGTAAGTGTCCATAGCTGGGGCCATGCTCCAGTAAGTTCTCACAGCCATTACAAAATGGACACTTTTATTTCTAAAGTCATCAGGCCACTGTCTTGTAACATGAGGAATGTGAATCACATCTTATTTCCAATCACTAATACAATTCTGCAAAATGGGTATTGGGGCAAAGGTGCTTATTCAGCCAATTTTCCATACAACTTACTGTATCGTTACCATGTTGTGAAGTCTAGAAGAAAATGCCTTGCCACCCAATGCCCGAAGTTGGATAATGGTCACTAGCTTAGAAAGGTTTAAAGAGGGATGAATGCAAATTCACAAGGACAGCAGCCTTATCAATGGCTTTAGTGTGGGAGACAAGGCAGGAAGTGGGGCTCTTCCCTCCACCCTGTGGAAGACCTCCCTGATGAAAGCGGCCCTTCCCTTCACTCTTCCTTCCACCAGGCATCCCATCAGGCTGAGATAGAAGCACAAACCAGGGATATTCCGTCACCCCTGCTGGCACTCCTTCACCTTCCCTCTTTCTTCTTTTCCTGGGAGCGCTGTCTTTTTGGATGGTAAGCCTGTCTTACTTTACAGATTTATATGCTGCCAGGACCTGGGCTCAAACACTTCCATCAGGCACTGGAGCCAGAGGAGTGGCAAATAGAGCTGTTCTTCCACCAACCCAACCCCCCCAGCAAGTGCTGCAGAGAGCCCTGTAAGCCCCTTTCCTAAGGCATCATTGTCTGCAGGAGAGGGCAGTCGCTAGCCATCTGTTCCTCACAGCAAAAGCTATATAGTTAAAAGAGCCTGCCGGGTTTGGCATGATCTCTTGGGAGCCAGGCCATGTCTCCTAAGATCCAGAGGCGGCTTCCCCTAACTACAAGTACCACGTGGGGTACAGGAGCTCACAGCATGAAGAGAGAGGGTAGCAAGGCAGTGGTGAGCAAACTGCCTCTTGCTTTGAGCCTCAGGAGAGCGTGCCCTGGCCTTGATTCCACTGGAGCACGGTGTTGTTGGCTGCAGAGCAGTGGTGCTTGGAGCAAGACCCTCAGTGCCAACACTCTGTTAGCAAAGATACAGGGATGTTGGTGTCGATGCGATCCCTGCAAAACCTCCGTTCCCCCTGAGCCTAGCTGCAATCCTCACAGCAGCTTGGAGAGGACTGAATTTTCTCATCACCACTGCAGGATTCCTGGCAGTGTACAAGCATTCTGTCAGTTCAGTCCCATTAACTTTTCAAGAGACTTCTTCTAGTGGGTGAAAGCTTGGTCAGCATGGATCCACACAACTGCTTAAATTTTTGGCGCCTCTGAATTTTGTGGTACTGGGACTGATGAGCATATCTAAATTTACACTTGAGAAGCAGGATAAAAATACTTCCAATGAAGAGATAATGCTTTAAAAATGAGCGATAAAACATTCAGAGCCTCCAGGTGCAGAAGCAGTATATCTCTGAATTCTAGAGGCAAGGGAAAGGGAAAGCCAATGCCTTGAGATGGGGTTTGTGGAAATACCTGGTAAGCCATTCATAAAGGAGACTGATTAGATTGACTTTTTGTCTGGTCCAGTTGTCAGTTGTAACCAGGTCACAGACCAGCTAAAGTTAAAAAAAAATGTCCTATTTATATTAATAGAGGAGGCTTAAGCAGATGCATATTTATATATTAGCCTGCATTTTTTAAACTTGCTTTGAATAGTGTTGGGGTGCCATCTCCTGGTTTGTCTGAGGAGTTGCACATTTGTGTACTCCGCTTTAGACATACGCTTGTATATCAAAAACATAAGAATGTAAAAGTTGTGCTGGATCAAACGAAAGGTCCATCTCATCCGCACTCCATACTCCAGGTGGAAAACCAGCCAGCCACAGGACTGTTCAAACAGGATGGGTGCAAAACCTCAGCAACTGGTGTTTGTAAACATGCAACCTCTAGTAAAGGAAGTAGTACAGTACTCAGCCAACCAGGTGAGTAGCTGTACAAGGTATACTAGATGAATGGTGGTCAACATTGTTCTTGTGCCTTGTAAGCTGTCCACAGACTTTTTTAGTAATGGACAGCATAGAAAAACTTTAAATAAAAAATAAACATTTTTTATGATTCTACTCTGAAAGGCAACTTAAAAATATTTTAATAAGTAGCCCTGAATCCTATAATTAAATTGGCAGTCATAAATTTGCATGCCCATTCAAAGTAATTTAAAAAAAACCAAAGCCATGGATAATGCCAGTCCAAGATCTTTTGCTGCCTAAAGCAGAGCCCAAAGGATTTTTCCACCAACACTTTCAAAGGTCTTGCTTGAACCATCCAAACACCAATTTATGTTTTTGTTCTGTCTTCATATAAACTTGGATTTAAGGCATTCCTGTAGGAGGATGTTAATCAGCTGCATCAGCTTTTGGTTTCATTGCAGAAGCTTTTGGTTTCATTCATTGGATTTCATTGCATTGCATTGCATGCATCTTGAGTGCTACACGAGGCATGTTTTGTTTCCTGTTTTTCCATGAGAAAACCATGAGGTGGTACTGTGATATAACAGAATAGTGTTGATACACACCAGAAATTGTGCTGCCTGCACTAGGAGAAATAATGTCCTAGTTTCCTGGTTTAAAAAAAAAACTTGCAGAGTGTGCTGTCAACCCCACTCCTCCACAAAAAGGCAAAATTGGAAGGTCATAACAACATCTAAAGAACCTGTAAACAACTGTGAGTAGTGGATGATGAACACAACAAATGCTTCATGTATAAAAACTGCCAATCAAAATGTCTCTTCCGCTATAAGAATACTTTTTTATGAGAAGAAACTAGAGGACTATGGAATCAATGTAAGGTCCAGGGTTGGGGGAACCTCACCTCCCAAACTGCTAAAGTGGAAATGGAAGGGAAATGCTGGGTACTGCTGCAATGGTCAGGGTTTTGGTTTTTTTTAGTAGTGGAGCTTTAATACGATGAGCATTTCCACAAGTGATGATGGTCAGCTTTTCCTTAAACTGGTCAGGAATGCAAATTGGAAACGAACATGCATGAGTATTTGCATTCAGCTTTTTCTCCTACCTTGCCTGAACAATTCTCATATGTTAAGGAGCAGAAATGGCACCTTCTGGCTTAGGAATGATCCTCATGAACATAATATACTGAGAGATAGAGAGAGAGAGAGAGAGAATGAGCGTGCGAGCTTAGGCATGACCAGAAGATGGCACCATTTTCCATGGAAAGTCCACTGTCCTGCCCAGGGGCATTATCCTGGGAATGGTTATACCACTATTTCCATATTTTTAGTATCCAGAAGTGTGCCTGACATGTGTTTGCAGAAATTCATACTCAGCTTTCTTAGAAGACTCTTGCAATGTGATCAGTGGATTGCCCATGACCAGTGTATGGGCACCTTGGTCCTCAACTGGGCTGGCAAGTCAATTAGAAAATATTCCATCAACATTTTAGGCCAGTACATTTCTACCCAGGCCTGAGCCTGTAGAGGCTCAGGACAAAGTCCAAAATTTGGTCCCTAATAGAGACTAAAGGGGAAATTCAAAAATGGTACAGATATTGCCCATAAGATCCTTAAATTCAGTTTTTAAATGCAGCCTTTACATTTTGTAATGAAATGTTAAGACGTTTTCACTCTTATCTGTATTTCATTATATTTTATGAGCTGATGTAAACAGCCCAGAGAGTTTTGGCTGTTGGGCAGTATAGAAATAAAAAAGAGGAGGATGGAAATTGCAAAAACAAAAAACAAAACTTTTCAGGCAAAACTTTTCCTCTTGGCTTGTTCTTCTCTTGACCACTTGCCTTCTAGTGGGGATACATTTGGTCTCTTCTGGGCAATGTTGAAGGTCAGTACCTTGGTGGCAGACCCCCCCCCCCCACAAAACACATATTGTTCTAGCCAAGGCTTTTAGTCCTCACAGTAGCACCACTGCAACTTCAGCAGTCTCAGAGTGGGGGGCTCAGTGAGGGGGGACATAAAATCCAAAAGGGGCCACAGAGAGCCAAAGATGTCTCCACATCACGGCAGGAGAGAAAACTTGTTCCTGTCACCGTGACCCAAGGATTCTAATGTGACTCACTTATTAGAAGACTGAGTTTTAATTGGGGAAATGTGGGTTCACATTCTCATTCTGCGGAACTGAAGCTGTCACTCCTAAGAGCTGTGATAACCCCAATTATCGTTGCTAACCACACCCTTGTCTCCTGCAGGAGAAAGACAACCAGATGGGTTAAGAGTAAACTTGCATCTTGATACCTGAAACAATTATTTGTGTTGGAATTTTTGAAGAGAAATTGGCAAAGAACTCAGTATCACCAAGAGGCTATTTTGTATTATTTTGCATACAAAATAACAACCGTTCTGAGTGTGTGGAGGTGAGGCGAGCATGGCCAATGATGATGATGATGATAAGAAGTCTTACAGCCATGCAGAGTTCTGCAACCTGATGCCCTCCAGACCTGGACTGCCATTCCCATCATCCCCAGCCAGTATGGTCAATGGCTTTATTTGCAGCTTAATTTTAGATCTGTTTCAGCTGAATTATTTCCCATCTTATGCACCTGGGTGTAAATGTTCTGTCACACAAAGCTTACAATGGGCCAGTGCACACAACTGAATTTGGCTTATTCAGATACCCAGATGTGCCTGGCAGACAATCAAATGGTTTCTATATTAGTGTGGTTTCCACCCTCCTAGCTCAGTCCTTTCTCTGTTGGCAGGTATTCCATCAGCCACCACACCTGAAATTCAATCCCATGCTTCCATCAGCCACCACATGCCAGCAGCTATTCGAAATATTCAAGCCATGGATTGCCATGTCATCTTGAACCCAGGT